CTTCTTGTTCACACCACCTTCCTGGTCACGCCACCTTCCTGGTCACCCCACCTTCCTGTTCACGCCACCTTCTTGGTCACGCCACCTTCCTGTTCACGCCACCTTCTTGGTCATGCCTCCTTCTTGGTCACGCCACCTTCCTGGTCACGCCACCTTCCTGGTCACGCCACCTTCCTGGTCACGCCACCTTCTTGGTCACACCACCTTCCTGTTCACGCCACCTTCCTGGTCATGCCACCTTCTTGGTCATGCCACCTTCCTGGTCACGCCACCTTCTTGTTCATGCCACCTTCCTGGTCACACCACCTTCTTGTTCACGCCACCTTCTTGGCATAACATGGGCCGCCTGAGAAGGGATGTGAGCTGGTGGGGCTCCAGAAATGCCCATGAGAGGTGGCCGAGCCCCTCTGTGCCCTGTGTGAGGTGCATGTGGGGCCCCAGCCTGGCCCTCCTCTCTGCGGGCATGAGTGCCAGAGGCGTCCACGCATGCTCCCTGCGAGCTCTAGCTGGCAGGACCTCTGTCCAGGGGCAGAGGGCAGTGCACCAGCACACCCCTCCTTCTCCCAAAGGGCTCGAGGAGCTCTGGCGGTTCTTGGTCCTGACGATGGGTGGGGCCACGGAGTCAGAGACCGTCCTTCACCTGTGCTGGCCTCAGGGAGTGGTGTGACCTTCAGTGAGGGCCTGGCTCCTCTGGGAGCCCCTTCTCGGCTGTCACACTGCAGTTAATGATGTCCCGGTGGGCCCCTGTGTCGGCCCGGGGACAGCAGGCCAACCTGCCATCTCCCTGAGCCCACGCCTGCCACCCCTGACACGTGGCTGTGTGCTCACTGGCGTTTCTTGGCTATTCAAAACTTTGATCAGTGGCAAAGGAGACATGGCGTAAGATTTCCCCTCACAACCAAGTCTCGGTGCACAGTCCAGGGGCGCAGGCACACTCCCCTGCCGCGCAGCCGTCGCCACTCCACCCCTAGAACTTGCTCATCTCCCCAAACTGGGACTCTACCCCACCCGCAGCCCTGCCCTCTCCTCCTCCCTGACGTGGACGGGACGGTCCTTGGGCCTCGTGGAAGTGGGCCCTGCGGTGCGGCCTCTGGGGCTGGTGCTGCCCTCGTGCTGCAGGCTGCCCAGGTGGTGCAGCTGTCCGGATGCCCTTCCCTGTAGGATGGGCGCTCCGTCTGTCTGCCCTCAGGCGATGGGCACTGGGCTGCTTCCTCTTGTTAGCCGTAATGCGCGGAGCTGCCAGCGACGTCCGTGGCCAGGTGTTCTGTGAGTACCAGGCTCGATGCTTTGGAGTGCAAACCCAAGAGTGGAATTGCTGGGTCACGAGGAGCTCTGCAGCAGTGTGAGTTCTAAGAACCCCAGCGTTAACTCTTGAGGGACAGGGGCGCTGCCCCCTCCAGCAGTGTGCAACGGCCACCCTCACACCCTCACCAGCCAACACTTCAGATTTTCTATTCTGTTTCCTTAAAACACACAGGACGGCATCCTGGTGCGGTGCCCAGTGGGGTCTCGTTGTGTCCGGTTCCCTGGCGCGTCCCGATGCCCGGTGTCTCTGAGCTCATTGAGCAGCTTGCGAATGCTCTTTGGAGAAAGGTCACTGTTAGTCCTCTGCCTGTCCTTGATCGGGTTGTTTGTCTTTTTGCTGTAGGGTCAAGAGCTTTCGATGCATTCTGACCCGACGCCCCACGCTGTACGTTGTTCTAAATTGTAATTTGAGTCGCTTTTGTAGGTTGCGAGGTTCCATCCGGACTATGAGGTTCCTGGTTCTGAGCAGCATTTCTCGTTTCTCAGGGTGCCCTGTTATTGCACCAGGCCTGACTCTCAGTGGCACACGGGAGTGACCAAAGGGCCCTGCCTGAGGTCAGGGTGCCCAGCACAGCCCACAGTAAGGAGGAGTGGGCAGCCCTCTCTGCAGAGCTCAGCAGGAGCTGCAGCGCAGCCTGAGTCCCTTTGCCCGGCAGGGAGGCAGGGAAGCGCCACCCCTGACGGTCCCCTTACCATTACCTAAACCGAGCACAGCTGCCTTCAGCCCAGTGGTAGAAAGTTGGGTGGCAGGGGAGTGCCAGCAGGTTCACAGATCATCAGTTCTAATTTAAACCAATCAGCATTATTCCTTTATTTGGGGGACTTGCTGAGCCCCCAGTTGCCAGTGCTGAGCCCCTGAGAGATGCAACTGTCCCCAAGGTGGTCACTCTGGACAAAGACAACTGACCACAGAAATGGCCATGTGACTGAAGCTGCCAACATCCTGGGCAGGTTTGGGGCACTATGTGTCACCAGGAGCTGATGCCAGCCGGTCACTCAGAGCTGAGGTCCTGTGGGCAGGTGACTCAGGGCAGGGGCTGCCCGGCAACAGGGAAGGGCATCCCCAGCTGGGGAACAACATGCGCTAAGTCAGCCGAGGGCGCCGCGCCCAGACCTGGCTCAGAAGACTCCTCGGAGCAGAAACAGGCTCTCGTCCATCAGCCTGGGCCCTCCAGAGGCCTGTCACCTGGCCAAGGTCTGCATACATCCTTAACTCAAACGCTGAGTCCAGGGCAGTGCCCCCAGGAGCCCCTCCGGCCTCCCTTTCTCCCATGATCTGGAATGTTCTTTGGCTAAGTGGGTGCAGCCCTGGAGTAAGACTGCTGGGGTTCAATCTCAGCTGGGCCCCTTCCCAACCGTGACCTTGGGCAGGTTTCTGAATCTCTCTGTGCCAGTCTCCTCCTCTGCAGGACACAGATAATAACAGTGGCCTAGCTGCTGTATTTAACACTCATGGTCACAAAGCCGGGCACCCCACCCTCTCCACCGCTTGCCCTGGCCGCCTCGTCCACTTGTGGGTGGCTGCCCCTCTCTCAAGGAGCCAAACAATCGTATTGTTCCTAAACCCAGTGCCTAAGGCAAGCCTGGCACAGTGCTGTCCAGGTGTCCACTGGACGATTCAAGTCCACCCTGTCCCTTACTGGCCCCTCAGGCTTGGGTGCTGCCTCACCTCTCCCTTCTTGGCTTCCTGTCCACCAATGAAATGGGTCCTGCCTCGTGGGTTGATGGAGATTGGGTGAGTGCAGCAGTCCTCTCCCTGCAGTTGGTTTTCCATGTTTTCAGTTACCCATGATCAACTATAATCTAAAAATACTCAATGGAAAATTCTAGAAATAAGCAATTCATTTGTTTTAACTTTGCAGTCTTCTGAGTACAGTGACAAAATCTCCCACCATCCTGCTCCATCCTGCCTGGCATGTAAATCATTCTTCGGCCAGTGTATCCATGCTGTATATACTACCTGCCCGTTAGTCACTTAGTAGCTGTGATCTGACACAGAGAGGCCACATTCACATAACTTTCATTCCAGTAAGTTATTATCAGGGTTCTGATTTATTTTTAGCGATTGTTAACCTCTTACTGTGCCTGACTCCTAAGTTAAACATTATCATGGGTACAGATGTAGAGGGAAACACAGCACACACAGTCTTGGGGAGTGTCCAGTTTCAGCATCTGCTGGGGACATTTGGACATACCCATCACAGACAAGGGAGACAATGGCACAGACAGAGCATCGGAATGGGGCCTGGCACGTCTGAGTGGACAAAGCCTCCGCTCTGTACCCTGTGCCCTGCTCCATCTCCCTGCTGTTCTGAGCAGCCCAGGGCGAGGGCCCACCCTTCCTGCCTGAATGGAGACTCTCTCCACAGTGGACAATTCCTTTGCCCTAGAAGCTCCAGAGGGTGCTCCCTAGCACCCCCAGGCACCCAGCAGAGAGAGCAGAGCAGGTTCTCCTAGAAAGATGGACAGCGGGGCTCTCGAGCTTCCCTGCTTGGGGTCCTACCGCAGCACTCCACACTGCCGTCCCAGGAGGCCGCCGCGGGCGTGGAGACGCGTGACCTGGCTGTGTGCCAGGGAAACTGTGGACATGAAGTTTGAATTTCAGGGAACTTTCGTGTCTCGCAAAATAATATTCATTTGTTTTTTTTTTTATTAACCACTTGCAATTGTGGAACCTGTTCTTGGCTTGCAGGTGCACAGTGGCAGGTGACAGGTAGGAGTCAGCCTTTCCCAAGCCCGCGTCCACCTTCCCTACCAGACCTCAGCTTCCCTATCTACAGAGGGACTATGGCCCCTTCCAGCCCCAAGATCCAGGATGGCTGCTCTCGGCCAGCAAGCCAGCTGTGGCCTGGGCTGGGCCCCGCCTGTGGCCATGGGCAAGACCTGGGCGTTGGCCCTCCACGCAGCCGCTTCCAGAGCATGGGGCACCCCCAGCGCATGGCCGCCCTGCACATGTCAGCCCCGACCAGAGGAAGGGCCACGGCCATGGCCGAGGAGCAGATGTCCTGAGCACCCTGGGGGCAGGAAAGGGGGCTCTCTTCCCGTGGACGGATGAGCCCCAGAGCTCGTCCCCCAGCTCACAGCTGCCGCCACACTCCCCTCTGCAAACCCCACCCTTGGCGCCTGGCCACCTGGCTCAGGGGTCTCCTGGCCGCCTCTTCCCCAAAACCTGCCCCTGATGGCCCAGGAGTTTTTCAGCCTCTGACTGGCCCCATGTCCCCGCGTGTGCCCAGGCGGTGAATTCGGCGCAGGTGCCCGGGAAGGGCTGGCCAGGGTCAGCTGTTCTATCTCCCTGGCGGGCCAGATGGAGGGTGCTGGGCCATGAGGGCAGGAAGCACTTTTCCCCAACCTCTGTGTCCTGCCCCTGCCCACCCCGGCCCTCCACAGCTGCACCCCAAGGCCCCCCACTCCCAAGTGTCTCTCTTGCAGGCAGAGAACAGACTGTGCAATGGGTCTGACAAGGAGTGTGTGTCCCCGACATCCAGGGCCTCCAGGAAAGAGACCCTCAAGGTGGGCCCGGGCCCTGGGGGGGCGAGGCCTCTCAGCTGGCACCTCAGAGGGGAGGCCCCCGAGGCTGGGAGAGGCTCCCCGTCTGCCAAGGGGAGGGGCAGCTGCACCCCACCACCCCATGCCCCCCCTGCTCGCCTTCTCCTGGCCCCAGACTGGACGGTGGGAGGACCTGGGCAGCGGGCGGGGGACCATCCCCCGTGACCGCCCACCGGTGCTCCCGGCTCAGGCGCAGAAGGAGACCTACCGAAAGGAGAAGAAGCGCGCGACCAAGCAGCTCTTCAGTGCCCTCACAGACCCCAGCGTGGTCATCATGGCCGACAGCCTCAAGGTGGGCGGCCAGCGGGAGCTCCCAGTGGGGGGCGGGAAGGCTGTGGCCACTCGGGAGACCATCGGCATGTGTGGTGTCCTGGGGCTGCCATAAGTGGTTTAAAGCCATAGAAATCCATTTCCTCATAGTTCTGAAAGAAAAAGTCCAAAACCAAGGTGCCCGCCAGGCCCTCCAGGTCCCGGGGGAGGGTCCTTCCTGCTCCTTCTAGCTCCAAGTGTCCTCCACTTGTGACCACATCAGCCTACTCCCTGCCTCCGTGTTCACAGGCCCACCCTCTGGGTCTGCCCCTCTTCCTGTGAGGACACCAGTCACTGGCCAGGCCCCTACTCCAGCCTGCTCCGTTCGCACTCTCTCGGTGGCACCCGACAGAGGGGGGCCCTGGTCTGCTGGCCGAGGCCTCAGAGTCCTGGGGAGGGACCATCACCCTGGCCTCCCAGGAGAGCGCCCGGGCTCAGACCTCCCCAGGGCACTCAGCCCTGAGCCTGCACTTCCCTGTCCACACAGTGAGGGTCAGAGACCCCATGCAGCCCCTGGGAGCAAGGGAGACAGGTGGGCCGCGTCCACCTATAGGCAGGATGGAAGCTAGGTACTGCCCCGACCAGCCGTTAATTCAGAAGTCAGGGGTGACTGGGTGAAGAAAAGACAGACACACACATAGAAGGAACAGCGGGGCCAGGTGGCGGCCAGGCTCTGACCGAGTCTGACTGACCCCGAACCAGCTCATCGGAAGGCTGTGGGAAGGTTTCAGCCAAGCAGGCCGACTGAAGGACGCAGGACGGGCGGACATTAGGGTCATCTTGTTAGACTCAGAATCCTCTGTTCCTGGGGGTTGGCGTCTGAACTCAAGGCCTCGACCGATCACTCTGAGCCTTGGCACAGAGTGTCCTTAGGCCGGCGTCACCCTAGCAACTGAGCCTTCGTGACCTGCACCCCTGCACAGGCAGTTCCCAGGGCTGCGCGGCCACGAGTCAGACGTGATCCAAATCGCCGCTCTCCAGGAGGTGTGGTGCGAGGGCCGAGTTAGAGAGAGAAAAGAGATGACAACTGGGTTACGGAGCTCAGAATTCCAAGTCACCACTCTGCTAGTTCCCCCAAGACCCTGGGACCTCCTCACCAGCGAACCTGTCCCTGGGCTCTCTAGATTTCTTTGAGTCTTCCATCACTTAAGTTCCCCTTTGAGAAACTGGAGGGGACCCTGCCACACCCCAGGGCCACCTGAGCTCTGCTCTGAGTTCCCAGGGCTCCGGCAGCTTGGTGCCCAGCTTCAGCCATGCTGCCCCAGCCCTGCCAGGGCACGTGGTGGGCACCCCCAGGAGTGGGGGCCAGCCCTGCACTCAGAACACGCAGACAGCCCCCATCAAGCCATCGAGATGCCCGGGGGGCAGCCTGAGTGGGCAGAAGTGACCCTAGTGCCCCTCCTTGCAGATCCGTGGGACCCTGAAGAGCTGGACCAAGCTGTGGTGCGTGCTGAAGCCTGGGGTGCTGCTCATCTACAAGACGCCCAAGGTGGGCCAGTGGGTGGGCACCGTGCTGCTGCACTGCTGTGAGCTCATCGAGCGCCCCTCCAAGAAGGACGGCTTCTGCTTCAAGCTCTTCCACCCACTGGACCAGTCAGTCTGGGCCGTGAAGGTACTGCTGGGCGGGAGGGGACACCCTGGGCAGGGGAGAGTGGCCCCATAGGGTCAGGAGGCTCCTCCTGGGGTCACAGTGGGACACCACTGCCAGCTGCAGAGGCCTCCAGCAGATCTCATGACTTCTCTGAGCCTCATGCAGGGCCAGGGACCAGATATGGCCATGGCCCTCCCCACAGAACCCTTGGTGGCCTCAGAGAGTGGTAACAGAGCAGCGTGAAGACCAGAGGCCCCTCTAGCCCAGACCTCAGCCTCGTAACGGGGCTGCCCAACCCAGGACCAGCAGGGCCAGGCTGCCTGGGGAAACCCAGAACGCCCAGTAGAATTTTGGAGGAACCAGTTTTTAGTGCAGACTCCTCGACTTGGGATGAGGTCACACCCAGATGACCCATCGTAAGTTGGAAACACCGCAGGTTTACGCTGTGCTTAACACAGCCGACTCCCAGTCACCACGGCTCAGCTCAGCTGCCTGCGCTCAGAACACGCAGCAGCCTACAGTTGGGAGAGACACCCCAGCACCCAGCTGAGTGTCCCGTGGGTTGACCACCGTTCTGAGCGTGGGACACAGTGGCTATGTGAGCGTGCTTGCCTGCCACCATAAAGTCAAACTATCGAACGTTGAAACCATCTTAATAAGTATATTCCGTGGGCTGGACACACCCTACAGAGCTCTTCAGAGCTCTTCGTTATCTCTCTGAGATTCGGATTCAGCTGGGGGGCATCCTGGTTTTGCAGGATTCTGACCCTAACTCAGGAAGCCCACAGCTGGAGAGCGAGGGCGAGGATCCCCGCCCATCCGTCTCTCTCGCGGCCTGCCAGGTCTTCCTGGCCAGGTGCCTGACCCTGCAGGTCTCTGCCTCTCCAGGGCCCCAAAGGTGAGAGTGTGGGGTCCATCACACAGCCCCTGCCCAGCAGCTACCTGATCTTCAGGGCCGCCTCGGAGTCGCACGGTGAGTCCCCTCTGCCTGTCTCCCCTGCCGGAGGAGGGGCCCTTGCCGGGTGTAAGCCAGGTGTAAGCCAGGTGTAGGTGAACACGGTTCAGGCCTCCACTGTCCCCCAACAAGAGGCGAAGTCATGGGGCAGGCCCAGGCTTGGCACCAGACAGCCTGGCTCACGTGGTACCTCTCCGAGCCTCGGTGTCCCCGTGGGTACAGTGTGACTCATACTTGTCACCTCAATATTATGGGACTCCAGGGACCTCATTAGAGCACATGGCAGTCACTAAGCTCCACACCCTGCTGACAACATGGACCGTAGGTCCTACTGTCATCTTCCACGTCCGACAGTGAGGAAGCAGCACAGGCAGCCCCCCGGCAAGACAGCGCCTGAGCCCAGACAGGAGCGTGAGCTCCCAACTCCACACCGTCCCCTTCAGGCGCCCTGACGGCAGCTGTCCCTGGAACTAGTGATGATTTCCTGCAGTGACCACCCTCTGATGGGGGTGGTCACCCATCTTCACCCTCAGGGCTGGCCCCTGCGGCCACACGCTCACAGTAGGCAGCGCCCAGTCTAGAAGCCGTAGCCCTGTGGGTCCAGCCCCTCAGTCTTGACTGTGGGCAGTGTCCTCCACACCAGTGCCACATCGCCCCCTGGTGGTCAGTGCCACATCTACGTTCCCCAGCTGTCCCAAGTCCCTTCCGTATGGGATCATTGCGGGATCCCACCTGGGCCCTGGGCTGGACAGGGTGGCCTGTGCCTCATGCACCTGCAGCTCTGAGGGGGCGGTGGGCAGTGAGCCATCAGACAAGGAGACCAGGGAAGACGGTGCCCAGCCCTGATGGGCAGAGGGGCCGCAGTGGGGAGTGTCCCCAGCCCCTGTGGGGTTCGGGTGGCCTCTGGAGGAGCCGGAGGAGGCCTTGTGTGGGCATGGCGTCTGGGGTACCGAGTCCCCAGGGGCAGCCCTGAATGCGTGTCCCAAGTCGGCGGCCGGGACCTCCCCCGCTCTTGTCCAATGCGCCCCCCTCCCCCCACCCCAGGCCTGCTCCAGGATGGCTCACCAGGCTGGGGGGCTCTGTTCCAACCCAGCCTGCAGTGAACCCCAGAAGCACCCCAGATGTCCCCTGGCAAGAAGAGCAGCTCCAGAGAACCAGGAGCCACCATCCTGGTGGGTCCCTCCCCTGAGTCTCCCAGACTGGCCCCAGGGAGGCCCGGCCCGAGCAGGGTCCATGAGCATCAGTCAGGGAACGAGTCTCCAAGAGCAATGCCAGGTCCCTCCAGAGGGACCTCTCCCCGCCCCGCCTGGTCCCACGGGCCCCCGATTGTCACGGTGCTTTGAGCCGTCATGTATAGGCCACCCCAGGACGCTCTTGTGAGCGGAAGGGCCACTCTCAGGGTTCACACCAGGACACCGGGTGCGACCTGGGTGGACGCGTGTCCCCTAGTTGTTAACACTTGGGGATCTGAGACCACCCTCCGCCAGGAAGGCAGCAGACAATGAGCAAGAGCCCTTTCCCACCCTTTGCTGTCCACAGCTTCGTCCCTGTGGCCTGGGCAGTGGCTCCTCCACAGCAAGGTCCTGCCCACGTCCACCTCCTGCCCACCTCCACCCTCCTGCCCATGTTCCCCGCCAGCAGGAGCCCCAGGGCACCCAGACCTACAGCTCCTGGTGGGGCCCTCATCCCACTCCACCTGGGCACACCTGCAGGTGGACCCTCTGGGCACAAGGCCAGCTCTGGGCCGTCACCTGGGTCCCTCACATCCTGGCCTTGGCCCCTGCCTGCGACATGAGTGCACGGAAGGGCACAGCCGTTGAGCTTCTCCGAAGAGCTCTTTGAGGCCTACTCAGAAGGCCCAGGGCCACATGGACTCCTGGTGTCTGTCCCCTCTGTCCCCCACCACAGGCCCCAGACCGAGGTCCCTGTGGGAGGCAGGACAGAGGGATGGGAGGAAGGTGGTCTCCTGTTGGGAGTCGGGGGGCCACGGGAGGTTCCCCGAGGGGAGCAGGCTGGACCCCTTGGTGAGGGCAGCGGCTCCCTGTGTCCCCAGGGCGCTGCTGGCTGGACGCCCTGGAGCTGGCCCTGCGCTGCTCCAGCCTGCTGCGGCTGAACACCTGCAAGCAGGGCCGCAACAGCGAGCCGGGGTCCTCGCCCGACGCGTCGCCATCCTCGCTGTCCGGACTGCCCGGCTCAGTCGCCGTCCACCCAGACCAGGACCTGTTCCCGTGAGCAGGGTGGGGCGGGCAGGGGTCGGCGGGGTCCCCTAGGTGGGGGCAGAGGAAACAGGCCTCCAACGGCACATGGAGTCCCCGGAGGGGGAGGCCCTGTCCCTGGCCGGCCCCAGAGGCTCAGCCCCTTCACTGTGGGATGGGGGTCCAGGGTCCGGCGGGGAGCGGGGTGGAGGCCGTCGCAGGAGAGCGCATGAGGCCGCCCGGGGAGGGGTGTGACCAGGTGCCGCCTGCGCCCCATCCAGGCTGAGCGGCTCGTCCCTGGGGAGCCCCCTGGAGCAGGACGCCTTCTCGGACAAGTCGGAGAACGCCGAGGACTCAGGGCCAGAGACCCAGGACCCCAGCCGCAAGACCAGCGGGAGTGGCAGCGACCAGTCTGAGAGCCCCGGGGGGCCCCGCAGGGGGACCACCTACGTGGAGCAGGCCCTGGAGGAGCCTGGGGAGGTGAGAGCCGCCCCCCCCCCCGGGCAGGGGCAGTGCCAGGTGGGTGGGGGTCCAGGAGGGTCCGCCGTGCTCCTTCCCGGGGGACACTGCCTCTCCTGAGAGGCCCTCCCTCCCTCCCGGCCGGCCGGCCCTGCTGGTGTGTGGACGTAGGGACGTGCAGAGTCTCCTGCCCAAGGAGCAGCCCGGGCCGGAAGGCACCGTGTGAGAGGACAGGGGCTCGGGCGGGACCCTCGCACCCGCTGGGTGATGAGCAGGATGAGGGCTCTGTGAGTGGCCACTCCGGCCACTTCCCTGCCCTGGGGAGACGGTCATGGGCCGGGTGGCCCTGGGCTGCCCCCTAGCCCAGGTTCATGGCAGCAGGAGGCAGGCCCACAAACCCACTGCTGTGGTTAGGTACTAGGGTGTCCCAAAGCCCAGGTGCTGAAGGCTTGGTCCCCAGCTTGGTGCTTTTTGGAGGTGGGAGAATCCCTATCAGGTGGGGCCCAGAGGGAGGACTTTAGGTCATTGGGGGGAGTGTCCCCAAAGGGGATTGTGGGATCCATCTCTTTCTCTTTCGCTTCCTGTGAGCAGCTGGATCAACCACGCACTTCTGCCATGGTGTACCCCTTCGTCACAGGTCCAAAAGCAGCAAGGCCAACAAGGGCAAAATCTCCCAAACTGTGAACCCCAAATAAACCTTATTTCTTTACAAGTTGATTATCCTAGGTATTTGTCATAGTAACAGGAAACTGACTAACACACCCACAGAGGACTCAGGGAGCTGGTGAGGAGAGTAAATGGGGTAGAGTGCCTTGGAGGGTGGGTGGTCATGGGGTTTCTTTGAAGACCTGAATGACAAGAGGGAGACTGGCTTTCCAGGCACAGGGGCCAGGAGTGCAGGAGTCCAAGCAGGAGTACTGTCAGCACCCACAGGAGTCTCCTATGGAGGACAGAGCTGGACTGCTTGAATTGCCACAGCGAGATGCGGTGGGCAGGTGGTGTGCCTCAGTAAGTGGGAGCCCAGAGGAAGGACACACAGGATCCAGGCCTGGAATGGGCAATGGAGTGGGTTGAAGAAGCCAAGCTTTGCTAAGGACCGGGTGCTGTCAGGACTGGACCTCTATAGCCATTCCCGTCCAGGTGGAAAGAAAGTAGCAAGGCTGAGGCTGTGGTAGGTAGTACAGCCCCTGGCATAGCAAGCAAAGGGATTGGGGTCCTTGTTGCTGTTTAGACAGTGTCTCTAATTGGCCATTTCCTGTTGCTATAACAAAACACCTGAGGTTGGGTGCTTTAGAGAGAAAAGAACTTTATTTAGTTCACAGTTTGGAGACTGGCAATCTGGAATTGGGCAGCCCTGATTTGGCCTTTGCTGAGGGCCCCTGTGACCTGGTGGATGGCCTCATGGGGGAGCATGAATGAGAGGGAGCGGTCACATGCAGAGACAGGAAGAGAGAGAGCAGGGAGGGGCCAGGCTTGCTTGTCCCCCCCAGACCCTCTCAGGAACCACTAAGTGCAAGGCCAGTGTCGCCCCTTCCAGGGACCTGCTGCCTTGGTGGACCCCATGCTTGACCGGGTCCCAGGGGCACTCCACATGCAGACAGAGCAGTCTCGTTCTGGTCTTGCTCCCCGGTGGACAGAGTGGCCTTGTCTGACGTAGTGTCCTGTGGAATCGCGGTCGCCACGGCCTTCCTATGGGGTGCGCGGCTGGGCACCTGCCTGTGCCCGGGAGCAGGAGGGTGACAGGGAAGCACCCATGGCCAAGTGGGGGGGGCCTGCAGGGAGGAGCCCTGGGGAGCTGGCCGGGATGGGGGCAGGGAAGGGAACCACTCTGCCCTTCAGAGTAGACCGGGCAGGCCCCAGCTGGACGGGGTGCCACTGCGAGGCGGGCACTGGGAGAAACAGTGGGCAGGAAAGGGCGTGGACGGAGGTGTGGCCTGTGACGACTGGGTCCCGGGAGGCGCTGCCTTGCGAGTCGGGCTCCGTGGCGAGAGCCCGCTGCGCACCGCAGCTCTGCGCTGTGCCAGCCGTCCTCCGTCAAGGGCCAGAACTTCACAGTAACTTAAAATACTCTTTGCAAGTGGAGCAGCAGCTGCCTCACAGGGCAGCCGAGGTCTCAGGGGCCAAAGCCTCCCTGCTGGACCGTGAGCTCCTCCCTCGTGTGGGACGGTCACTGAAGTTCCGACAGCCCCGTCTGGCCAGGCCCCACCTGGACTCATGGGAGGGCCCAGGTCTGCCAGGTGGAGCAGCAGCCCAGCAGTGAGGGACGAGAGCAGCCTTCACGGGCAGCTGTGCCCTCCAGGCAGGGTGGCCGTGTCGGGAAGGGGAAGGGGCAGGGCTGCAGGGCTGGGCTCTGGAGGCTGCAGGGCCAGGCTGGGCGTCTACACCAGTGGTGGACAGGTGCAGCCCCCACACCTACTCGGCCGGGGACGGTGTCTCCCACCACCCCGCGTCCTCCCTCCCTGGGGGGCACAGAGCTGACCCCAGGCCCTTTGCTGCAGCTGGATGAGGAGCCCCAGGTGGAGACCGTGTCGGAGGAGAACAAGGGCCTCATATGGGTGCTGCTGCGGCAGCTGCGGCCGGGCATGGACCTGTCCCGCGTGGTGCTGCCCACCTTCGTGCTGGAGCCCCGCTCCTTCCTCAGCAAACTCTCCGACCACTACTGCCACGCCGACCTGCTCTCCAGGTGCGCTGCGGCAGGGGAGGGGCCCAGGCGCAGGGGCCCACAGGGCGCAGGGGGGCAGGAGCACCCGGGGCGCCCTGGACGCTGCCAGGGCCAGCAGTTCTCTCTGAGGCCCAGCGTGGGGTGGAGCCGGCGCTGCTGGTCACTTCCGGGGGGATCCCTGGGTCAGGGCTGCCTGGCACGGTGGCGGGTCGGCGCATCAGGGTCCAGGTGCCTGCAGGTGGCTGCGGTAGCTCAGTGGGCGGAGCTGGGATGGTCGAGAGTGTGGTCAGGGGAGGGGCTGGCCAGGGACCCTGGGCAGACTCAGAGGCCCGCCTCCCCATGGCAGGGCTGCCCGGGAGGACAACGCCTACGGCCGCATGAAGCTGGTGCTGCGCTGGTACCTGTCAGGCTTCTACAAGAAGCCCAAGGTGAGCCTCGCCGAGTCCCACATCCCCCGCCTGGACGTCCCGGCTGCCCCCGTGGCTGAGGTCCGAGTTAGAGGACAAGGCCTGAGTCCCCCAGAGAGTCCCCTGTGCTGCTCAGACCACATCCCAAGTCGGTGCCCATCCCCTGAAGGGTCCACCCCGGGGAGCTAGCCTCGGGTGCTGGAGGTGCCACGGGGCACTGGTACCAGCAGACCCAGTGTACCCAGAAGTCCTAGCCACAGGATCGTCTCAGAACCGCAGCCAGGACTGGCCTGGTGCAGGGAGGGCCGGGCAGGGCGCAGCTCTGCCACTCCCGGCTCCACAGGTCACCCGCTGGACACTGAGACTCTAGTTCCACTTTTCAGGGCACAGATGGAGACACTGAGGCCCGGAGAGGGGAAGGGACCAACTTGGACCCCCATGGCAGGCTGGCTTGGAGCCGGTCTCCCTGCCCCCCGTGCCCCCCACGCTCAGCTTTGAGGGGGCTATTCAGGCTCTGCACCCAGGTCCGGCGGAGTGACTCATTCGGGGTCCTGAGGACACCCGGAGGCTGTCCCCCCAGAATGCACGACACTGGAAGGATGTCCCCCAGCACTGGGGGTGCTGTTCCCGTTGCTGGCAGCAGGCCAGGCCCCTTTGAGAGTCGTGGGCAGCCCCCACACCGTCCCCCCGGTCCGCGTGGCCAGCCCTGCGTGGCCAGCCCTGCGGGGCCCTCCCGCCTCCTCCCCACACGGCCTTGTCCTGCAGGGAATCAAGAAGCCCTACAACCCCCTGCTGGGCGAGATGTTCCGCTGCCGCTGGATCCACCCTCAGACGCGCAGCTGCACCTTCTACATAGCGGAGCAGGCAAGGCCCCCTCTGGACAGGGAGCCTGGGTGCTGGGGGTGCAGGGTGGGCCCTGCATGCCGTTCCCGGTGTCCCGCATCCTACCAATCCCAAGGGCTCTGGAGCCAGATGCTGCCCATGGGTTGTCGGACAAGGTACAGACAGAGCCCCGGGCCTGAGACAGCAAAGTGTCTCCTGGGGAGCCGGGGACAGAGCGCCCGGTCCCATGGGACACTCGGGGTGACTCAGGGATTTGAGTCTGCTCCTAGGCCCAGTGACTCACGCCCCCTCCCGGGGACCCTGGGAAAGCCCCCGGGCTGCCTGGACCCCCTCCAGGGCCGGTCCAGAGCTGCCTCTGCCTGCAGGTGTCCCACCACCCGCCTGTGACGGCCTTCCACGTCAGCAACAGGAAGGATGGGTTCTGCATCAGCGGCAGCATCGTCGCCAGGTCCAAGTTCTACGGTGAGTGGGGCTCCCCGGGGCTCCTGGGCCCGAGGGACATGGGGCAGGACCAGGGCTCACATGGTGGCCGTGCACACCCTCAAGGTCAGGGACCACAGGTGGCAAAAGTGCCGAGACCTGGCCAGGAGCCCGCCCCCAGCTGAGACGGGGCGACTTGCAGGGAAGCCCC